CCCAGAACCTTGTAAAACATAAATAAGAGAATTGGATTAGCTGCTTATTCAGAAATCCCATACAGCTTCTATTGGTCCATTTTCTGACAAAAAAAAAAGAAAGCACATAAATAATAGCCTCTTAAAACAGTGGGAGGTGAGACACACAATATCTTTGTTCCAGACTTGTGTGTATGTATGTCAGAATATAATTTTCTAGTTATAGGCTATTTGTGAATTGTGAAGACCCATTGGTTGACATGGGTCCAGCAGGGGGGGGGACCATGTAGGGGCTGTAAATGATCTCTCTCAGCTGGTTGGCTAGAAGAGCTTGAATTTCCAAGACTAATAGTGTGGCAACAGACAAGGGCCTGAAAACTGACCTTTAACAGCTGAGCCTGGTGCTGTGTTTATTAAATCTAAGTACCGAAGCCATATGTCAAAGTGTGGAGCTTTTGTGCCTTTCAAAGCTGTGCTTTCTGTTGAGCTGAAGATCTATCTTCATCTCTATGTTATTGTCAATGTATTATATTTAATATGACCAATGTGTCTGACGTAAAGTTAAATTAAAATTGAATTACTCAAACACAGACTTTAATAGTTTTTGCATATGACATTCTACATAAATTTCTGCATAATCTTAAACTTGTACTCATTGCTAATAAAACAAGATGTATTAGTCTTAAGGAGCCATACTTACATCTTCCTGCCATTTATACAATTAAAGGTAATGGTCATTTTGACACCATTAGAGATTATAGCCCACAAATTACAGTATACATACCCCCAAAAAGAGAAAAAAAGTAATTTGTTGAACTAATGACCAGCTCCCTGCATTATTCTTTATACTGTAATTTTCCCAATAAGACTCAATGAAATTTGTTTTAAGAGATAGTATATTTATTCATTAAAGTGCTATTTATGTTCAAGTACCATTTCATAATAATAATAAATTCAAAATAAAGTAAAACATACTATAACTTCCTGTCCTTTGTGGTCTCGATCTCAACAAGACTACCAGATTGAATAAAGGTTATAAAAAATGTTTTAAAAAAGTGTGTTAGGGTTAAGGCTTGGTGGTGGGAGTGACTATAGGAGACAGGGGGGCACTGGTAGGGATGACTCCGGTGGCCAGCAGGATGATGATGAGGATGATGATGAGGACCACCACCACGATGAGCACAATCAGCTTGACGTTTTTCCACCAGTACGAGCGAGCCACTTTCTGAGACGTCTGCCTTGAAGAGCAGGGAGAGAGACGAGACAATGAAGCAAGACAATCTGTATTCTTGACACACTGTTCCACTTTCCTCTTAAAGAAAACAGACCCCAAACTCAATAATGTGTCCCTGAAAGTTTACAGAAAGAATTTATTTTATTTATTATCATTTTGACAGAGCAATACAAAATAAATACACACAACATCAAAGCCACAAGCATATGTTAAAAGGCCTTTTTTACCACTGGCTGCATTTCATTAATTCCTGGTACTGTGCATGCTGGCTCACTGGCCTGTAGCCTGATCAACTTGCAAAGCTAAATGGAACATTGCCATCATGAATGAGGGGTAACTGTAATAATATTACTAAAACGTATTACTAGTTAGTTAGTTACTGGGGAAAGTAATATCATTATTGTGGTATCATTATTAGTAATGAGTTACTGCCCAGCACTGTATACAGCTGAGCTTTTCCTGCTGATTTAAATATTTCAAGGTAGTTCCTGTAATGATAACAAGCATTTACTGAAAGAGACACATTTTCTGTAATGAAAAAAACTAGAATAGCAGGTTGTACAGGATGTGGCAGGGTCATTCCCTTTGATGAGCAATGGCTGCTGGGTTAACAAGCCTATCACCTAACAAGTCGCAGCTGGAACAATGCCTTACCAGTGCTTAATTCAAAGTTTTGGTCATGGCAAGAAAAAGACCTTGTCTCCATTGACTTGTTGTACTGGTTTACCTGTTGAGGATGAACACTGAAGTCTAACAACCTCATTATTTGACCTCACATGCCACTGTAGCTGCACAGTATACCAAAGATGTGTCAGTGCAAGTGTATGAATAAAAATACCCGACACAGCACACTTTCACACAAATTGCCGTAAAAGGCTAAACTCCTGCAGTGGTACTTTATTTTATGTATATTTACCTCTCATTTCTCCTCTAGTGCCACCTCAATTTAAATCTTAGTCTGGTTAGACTCACAAAATTACTCTGTATGTACACTGTACAGACATTCACACTATTATTTGTTGTGTCTGATATTTTCAACTAGAATTTAAATTAAGTACATTTACTGGTAATCTTTTTATATTTGTTTATTTTCTGAATCACAAATTGTATGTAAAAGACTTTGCAGTTAAAATGTTAATGTTAAAAAACAACTCCGCTAAAAAAAACTTTCCTCTCTGCCCACCTGTCTCTAACCTTTATAGTAAAACTATTTTCACTTACCATGTTTGTCTGTCTCTTGCTGTGTTTGTGCCAAGCCCGTCACATCCAGTGCATTTTAAGATCCCATGAATACTTCCTGAACTTCCTGAAAAACAAGGCATCTTCACTAGTGATGTTGTATTAGTACCTGACAGAAAGTCCAACCAATGAAGTCGTCAGAACAGTCCTGCCTGCCTACCCATACTGCCTTTCTCTCCATAGCTGATAAGCTCTCATTGGTTTACTACAGTAACTGACACATTTCAACAGGAATCACATCACATAAAGGAAGTGATAAAACTATTTCAAAAGTGCTTCCAGCTGGTTGTCATTCTATTTTGTCTCTCTCTACATAATTTTGATGGATTGCTATGATTTTTTGTCCAGACATTCATATTCCCCATAGAATTAATTCTAATGACTTTGGTGCCATTATCAGGTAAAATACTCTGGCTCATGACCAAATATGTACAAAACTAATGACATTCCCATCTATGGGGTGCCGTTTGTAAAG